CTTCCTGGGGTATCAAACTATATAACAATCTTCTTTCTTTGGTAGATTTCTTTCCTAATAAACTTTCCTATCACTTTCACAACACTTTGAGTCTAGCCTGAATTCTCTTGCTAGAGGCCAGGACTGAGAAGGACAGCTGTGCTATCTTTTTAGTAAACAAAACGACAAGTATCACATGCAGACTGAAGGCCCACTTTGTCGAGGGCCATGGGCAAAAGGGATTTATAAACTGTGCTAATGAACTCATCACTTTCATGTTGAATTGTCGCAAACTTGTGAAGTTTATACTGGGTATATGCTGCACTTTTTCAGAACAGGAATACTGCCTCAGCCTTCCAAGAGTTAATGTTATAGGCATGCACTATCATAACTGGTACTAGGTAGTTGTTTTAATAATAAAACTTGGTGGCTGTGTTTAACATGCCTTCTCCTGTCGTAGACAGGAAGTTTTGTGGGTCCCAAGGGCCTGTGCTCATTCCTCCTTGAATAGGGTCTCAGACAAGGTAATTTGGGGTAGAGGCTAACATACTGTTTTCTTTAGCTAAGGAATTTGTCTTTCTGGCTGGGTTACAGCTTAGTGATAGAGCACTTATCCAGCTTAAAAGCCCTTGGTTAGATCCCTAGTACTGCAAAAATCAAGAACAACCACACAAAAATAACCTTCCCCAAACTGACATCAGAGACTGTCTTGAGCTGCTGGTTACCACCCGCCACTTACTGGGGAAAATTATCTGGATACCTAGGTTGGTCTTGTCAACTTGTTTCCTACTTAGTCAGACTGAAAATGTTTTTAAAATCTCTTGAGGCTTTGTGGGAAACTCACTGCTATCAACGCTGGAGGAAAGTGTTTTAAGAAGCCACCTTAGTAACACACAGGATAGGTTTCCTAACCTGGTGCTCATTTGAATCCTCTGAGAAGTATTTTAAACATAGGTTCTTGGGCCACACCTCAGCTCTGGATCAGGATCTCCCAGGGTAGGTCCTGAGAACCTACACTTCTAAAGCTCCCCCAACCGATTCTGAAAATAAGACAAGCATGGGAACCATGGATTTAAATCAAGAAAACAATTAGAAATTGTATCACTTAAACAGATAGGTGTGGTGTCACTCCTGTAATCCCAGAACTCAGAAGGCTGAGGCAGGAAGACCTCAAGTTCAAGGCCAAAATGAGCTCCCAAGGGAAATTCTGACAAAAATAAAAACAAAAACAAACAAACTCTCATACAAAAGAAAATCTTATTGCTTTAAAACCCACAATCTGCTTTTAAAATAATGCTTTAGGGCTGGGAATGTGGCTTAGTGGTAGAGTGCTTGCCTAGCATGCATGAAGCCCTGGGTTTGATTCCTCAGTATAAATAGAAAAAGCCAGAAATGGCGCTGTAGATCAAGTGGTAGAGTGCTAGCCTTAAGCACAGAGAGGTTCAAGGACAGTGCCCAGGCCGAGTTCAAGCTCCAGGACTGGCAAAATAATAATAATAATGCTTTAAAAACTAAATAAATGCACATTTTTAGAAAATAAATCTACCCCTCATTACTGATGGACTTGCTACAGGCATATTAAATATATTCAAACAGATAGCTTCTTGTGTGTTGAAATCAGACTTGACCTTAAATAATATAAAACAATGGGAAAGTCTCTTTTGGTAGTTTCTCATCATTTCTTTCTCTTTTTCTGTCCCCCCTTTAATGGAAAACAGCAGCAGAGGGAGAGGAAATACTTTATTTTCCCCAACAGAAGTTGGCCCTGGTGCTACCTGATTCTAAGCAGGATTCCACCTTCCCACCCCCAGAACTGTGGAAGTGACTGGCCACCATTTCCTGTGCAGCTCCCTGACTGGTCTGATGAGATCACTCTAGAGCTGTGTGTGTGTGTGTGTGTGTGTGTGTGTGTGTGTGTGTGTGTGTGTGTGTGTGTGTGTGTTGGTGACATTTTATTTATCAGCATAAAGGGAGTTTTCAATTTCCTTTTTTTTTAATGCTATGTATTCCAGGCTGTCTTTGAACTCTTAATGGTCCTACCTCAGTCTCCTGAGTAGTAGGATTCTAGATGTGTACTGGCTTTTTCTTTTTCTCTCTTTCCTTTTTTTTCTCCTCACATTTTTTTTATTCTTTGTCATTTAAAAACACAGCAAAAAGATCAGGAGTTTGAGGCCAGCCTGGCCTCTATAACCAGCCTGGCCTGTAGCAAAACAAAAGAACAAAACCAAAACCAAGAACAACCATCCTTAACAACAACAAAGCCTGTTGGATTTGTCTGCCTAGGCTGGCTTCAAATCCTGATTCTCAGATCTCAGCCTCCTGAATAAGCTAGGATTATAGATGTGAGCCACTGGTGTCTGGCTACAAAAAGATTTAATTTTAACCCAAGTCTCAGTGATAGGCTGAGGCCTACTTGGAAGCATAGAGTGCGCAGTTTGTCCCAGCTGCACACAGAGTTAGCAGTGGATATGCAGAAGGACATTAGATGCTCAAAGCAGTAGCCAACGATGTCATCTGAGGGAGACTGTCACACAGAAAGTGAAATCAGATCTGGGATCCAATCACATGTCTAGGATGGATACAGATACAGAGTATTGTACATGGAAAGGACAAAAAAAAGTTGGCTTTAAAATGTTTTGTTTTTTTCTGGTGCTAGAAATTGGACTTGTGGCCTTTCCTATGTGAAACATGGTTCCACCATGTGAATATGGTTCTACCTCGTGAAACATGGCTCTACTTCCCTGGAGATACCTTAGTGATTTTTGATGCTCATGAAACATTGTAGTTTAGGGAAATGTCTTCATCTGTACTTGGACTTATCTTGCTAATATTTCTCATTGTTTAGAGCTTTTGATTTATCATATGGACCTTTGGAATACAAGTAAATACATATGATTTCATTTTCAAAGACACATTATACTTAGGTATCTGTTGACACTTTGCATAACAATATTTTTTGTTCAAGTACATGACTTTTAGTTTAATTTTATTAGATATGTAATCTGTCACAGGGAAAGTTAAACTTGCTTCTCCAAACCATGGTTACAATCAAATCCGAAAATCATCTAGGGTTCTTGTTAAAAAAAAAAATTGAAGGTTTCACCAGTGGTTCATGCCTTTAATCCTAGCTACTCAGAAAGCTGAGGCCTGGAGGATAGAGGTTCAGAGCCATCCAGGGAAGAAATGTTTGCTAGACTCTATCTCTAAAACAACAAACAAAAAACGGGTTGGAAGCATAGCTAAAGTGGTAGAAAGCCAGTCTAGAATGCACAAGTCCTAATCCAAAACTCTAGTTCTACCAATGAAAAAAAAAAAACTTAAGTAAGCTTTAGAGCTCTTTGATAGTTTTAAGTTCCTTTGGAACAGAACACACACACAAAAAAAGAGTCTAAAGGTAGAGTCTAAAGGTAGTTCCCAGGATTTAAAGGTAATGCTCTACAGGAAGTTTTACAGACCAGAGATATGGCCTTCAGTTCTTTATGATATCACTTGGTGATAGCTGTGTACATTAAGGACTCCAAAAACTTCAAAGTATATTTCTACAACACAAGTTCATCTTGTAGAAGCATTTCCTAGAGCTGAAACAAAAATTATTGTGGGAAGTATAATTCTATTTAAGCAAGTTCCTGGGGGTAGGAATTTTTGAATTACGATTCAAAAATCAAGTTCTAAACGTCAATGTCTAAGTCAATCTCAGTCAGAGTAAAATGTTTTTAAGCACTGCAGATCAATACCACCACCCCCATCAAAGTGTAGTCTGGGATTTCTGGACATTTTTTTTTTTTTCAAAGAAAAGGAAGGTAAACAAATCACACTTAACTAGCTACCTGGACCCAGGGATACAAGCTGTGGTTTCTGTTTTGCTGTTGTTTATGGCAGCTCATCCAAGTGAAAAGTATGGGGAAAATTCTCCTCATTTCCTCCTCCAAACTAGGAAGAGGAAAGTAAATACAGAAGGAAGAATACTTGAATATTGGGGGAGGGGGCATTTAATAACACTTTACAGATTCCAAAGCATTTTTACATGCTTTAAATTCTTTCTTCCAGGACCTCAAAGTCTATTCTGGTCAGAATCACTCAGGTTTCTCAAGACGAAGTCTGAGTCCCTTAGGAATGCCCAAGAGCGCGTGAGGTGACTGCCGAAAAACTGACCGCTTGCAGAACCACAAAGAAGATACTTTTACATGGATGTATGGGAGTTTTGGTTATGATTTTAGGAAGTAGTCAGGACACATAATTACCACCTTGTAGCCTGAACTCTCTCTGCTCCTCCAAAGTATTTTGGTTTTGAGGGAAATACTACAAGAGAAATCAAAGTGATTGCTGCAAACCATTAACATTTTTAGAAAATGTCTAATGCTCTGTCGAGATATAGCTCAAACTGCATGTAAAATACAATGAGTTTGCCTCTCCAAAACAAAAACAAAACCTTGTGACATTTTAATCTTTCATATAAGCAAAAGAACAGAGTCAAAATTTTATTTAGGCTAAAAATATGCCCCCTATTAAGATAAAATCAACACATTTAATATTATCTATCTCATTAAGGAGAAACTCAATGTGATAACAAAATTGACTCCAAAAACAGCTGTAGTCATGGATACACTACTTAGGTTTTGGTGCTCGGTCTCCATTCAAGTCCTTAGGGATCACTGTATATTTTTGTTTGTGTGCCCTAATCGTTAAAATGAAACCAGTGCACCCCAACTTCACCCCAGATGACTCATGTAGGTGATCTGTAGACCACCAAGAGGAACAACACTGGCAGTCTTGTCCCTCCATCCCGAAATCAGGACTGGATGCTAGGTCCTCTCCATCCCAGGCAGGAACCTCATTCTGGACCCCAGTAGCTGCCTGTTGGGCAAGCCATTTATATCCAATAACAGCTTCTACTATCACTACCAGATGAGGATTTTCACCACAATGATGATAACACATAAAATCAACCAGCAGCGGCTTGCACGGACACCAGGGCAACCACACTGAAGACGCCCAAGCGTTAAATACAAAGGGGAACTGACCTGCTTCTTCTGGTGTGTGTTTAATAGAGTCAGAAACAAGGCATAACATCTGGAGTAGCTGGCCAGGGCTGCGCAGCAGTCACGGTAAGAAGTTAGCTTGCTGCCGAAATGCCAAATGAGAAACAAAATGTTATTTTTCTACAAAATTCAAATACACAGTATGATTTAATGCGAAACTTCAAAGCACTGCCCAGTTCATGGAAAGGGATCCGGAAATACAATTCCAGCCTAGAGAGGCTGCAGAGGGGCTTGCTGTCAACTCTGAGGCTGGTGGGTGGGGAGGGAAGATAAGAGAATTCAAAATAAAAATCCTCTGTAGCTGGGGGTGTAGCTTAGTGGCAGAGAGCTTGCCTAGCACGTACAAGGCTCTGGGTTTGATTCCTGCCCAAACAATCATTCACTCAATCAATCGAACAAGCAAAGGAATAAACACTTTTTTTTTGGGGGGGGGAGTAGGGGGTCGGCACTTAGCTCAGTGGGAAAGTGCCTGCCTATCGAGCCCTGAGTCTGGTAATGGTGTTGGTGGTATCCTTTGAAAAATAGAAACTTTTAGGCTGTAATACATTTGATGCTGTAAATTTACACTATCCCATAAAGGCTCAGAAAACAGAAGCTAAGAAATTTACACACTATCCATTGGATGACAGTGAATTCCCAACTGTATCAGAAGGAAATGTAAAACTGTTTTTGTGTTCAGTGGAGCTCATAGCTTTATATGTACTTGCCTGGCAGGTGCTTTACTGCTTTTGAATTGTGTCCCAGCGGAAACTGTTCTAACATAGCGGGCTAACCACGCTACCCAAATATCAGGAGAAATGAACATTAGGGCAAACAGTTTCAAAATGTGGAGCGCAGGCAAAGAAACCAGACCTAAAGGCAATACTGACAATAAGGAGATGGCCATCACCTTTTATTAATTAGTAGACCAAAAGGTAAAACATTCCAAATAGCTTTAAAATCTGACCATGTGGCAGGCCACAAATAAGCCTCCATACATTTTCAGAGAGCTGATCTTCCTCAGCTGGGAAGATGTCTTGAACTCAGGAGCTTGAAATTAGCCTGAGCAGCATAGTGAGAAATTACTTCAAAAAATAGATAAATACATTAAAAAGCAACTAAACTAGACACTAATTTAAAAAATTAGTTTAAAATGTATCTTTAGGGCTGGGAAGGTGGCTCAGTGGTAGAGTGCTTGCGTTGCATGCATGAAGCCCTGGGTTCGATTTCTCAGCACCACATAAGCAGAAAAAGCTGGAAGTGGGGCTGAAGCTCAAGTAGTAGAGCGCTAGCCTTGAGCTGAAGCACTGTGGGACAGCGCCCAGGCCCAGAGTTCAGGCCCCATGACCAACAAAAAATTAATCAATTAATTTTAAAAATTCATACACACACATATCTTTTGAAAATTAAACATACCTATTTTATGGGTCACAAAATAAGAAAAATCTAAAAAATATTTAATCTGAATAATAACAAAAAGACTTCAAATGAAAACTTACAGGGCACAGCTAATGCAGTATTTAGAGGATTTTTTTTTTTCAATTGTGGGGCTTGAACTTAGGGCCATGGCTCTGTCCCTGAGCTCTTCTGCTCACATTGAACTATGTGCCACTTCCAGTTTTTGAATGGTTAATTGGAGATAAGAGTCTCACAGAGACTTTTCTGCCTGGGCTGGCCTCAAACCACGATCCTCAGATCTTAGCTTCCATAGTAGCGAGGATTACAGGCATGAGCCACTGGCGCCTGGCTAGAGGGAAATTTGTAGCCTTAAGAATACCAGAAAGAAGGGCTGGGAAGGTGGCTCAGTGGTAGAGCGCTTGCCTTGCATGCATGAGGCCCTGGGTTCGATTCCTCAGCACCACATAAGCCAAAAGAAAAAAGCCTGAAGTAGCGCTGTGGCTCAAGTGGTAGAGCACTAGCCTTGAACTGAAGAGCTGAGAGATAGTGCCCAGGCCCAGAGTTCAGGCCCCACGACCAGACCCCCCAAAAAATAAATAAATAAAAGAATACCAGAAAGAAAAGAGTTGAGTTTCTAACTAAAGAAGATAGAAGGAAAATATAAAATACAGAGAGCAGAAGAAAGTAATAAAGATAAGAACAGAAGGAATAAGAAAACAGACACACAATGAAGTTTATTAATAAATCTGTTGGTTCTTTGCAAAAACTAATAAAATGGGCAACTTTGGTAAGAGTTTTTAAGCGATAGAGAATGTTCATAAATAATTCAAATTAGGAATGAAAACCAGTATCAGAAGGACATGAACATAGTGATTAAAAGAATGAATTCTGAAGTCATAATGTCTGATTTGAACAGTAGCTCTCTGAATTACTTATAATCTTAGGAAAACTACTAAACTATTCTATGTCTCAGTTTCCTCACATGTCAAACAAAGATGATTCTAATCTTAAAAAGTTGTTATAAGGATTAAATGAATTAGTATTTGCAAAGTACCTAGAATAGTGCCCAGCATAGAGTAAGTATTGCACCAGTATTTAAGTAAGTAAAATAAATAAAATAGAACATAAAAATACAACAGAGGCTGGAAAGGTGGCTCAGTGCTAGAGTGCTTGCCTTGCATACATGAGGCCTTGGGTTCGATTTCTTAGCACCACATAAGCAGAAAAAGCCAGAAGTGGCGCTGTGGCTCAAGTGGTAGAGCCTTGAGCTGAAGAGCTGAGGGACAGTGGCCAGGCTCAGAGTTCAGGCCCCATGACTGACCAAAAACAAACAAAAAAAAAACAAAAAAACAACCAATAACAACAACAAAAAACCAACAGAGCTAAGTGCCGGTGGCTCATACTTGTATTTCTAGCTACTGAAAAGGGTAAGCTCTGAGGATCAAGGTTTGAAGCCAGCCCGGGCAGACTTTTAACTCTAATTAACCACCAAAAAGCTGGAAATAAAGCTGTGGCTCAAGTGATATCCTTAGCTTAAAAACTCAAGAGACAGTGCCAAGGCTCTGAGTTCAGGACAGGCACAATAGAAAAATAAAAGTACAAGAGAGGTTGAAAAGATAATATGAGAACATCTGGAATAATTAAGTTATTTAGCTCTTTTGTTGTCGTTGTTAGTCATGGCGCTTGAACTCAGGGGCCTACGGGCTGTTTCTGAGCTCTTTATTACTCAAGGCTAGCACTCTTACCACTTCGCACCACAGTGCCACTTTGGTTTTCTTGGCGATTAATTGGAGATAAGAGTCTCATGGACTTTCCTGCCCTGGCTGGCTTTGAACCATGATCCTCAAATCTGAGCCTCCTGAGTAGCTAGGATTACAGGCCTGACCTACGGGCACTGGCTTTTGTTTACTGTTTTTTAAAGACAAGGTTTCACTATGTAGCCTAGGGTTTCCTTATATTCTCCACCTGCCTGGCACAGCCTCCTGGCATGGAACATATGCTGTTTGAAAACTTAGAAAATGTTTGAAGTTCCTGCAAAAGAACAACTTTTGAAACAAAAATGCAAACTTTTGAAATATGACTAAACATACAATTATTAAAGAACATGATTAGCCAGGCATAGTGGCATGTGCCTGCAATCCGAACTACTCAGGAGGCTGGGGTAGAAGTCCAAAAAGTTTGGGGTCAGTCTGCATAGCATAGACTGGTGAAAGAAAGGAGGGAGAGAGAAGAGAGGGAGAAGGGAGGAGGGAGAGAGGAAAGGAAAGGAAAGAAACAAAGGGAAAAGAAATTAAACAGGAGCCAACAACAAAATACATAGAGAATAAAAACGCACTCATAGGTAGAGGGGAGGGAAAGTAGGAGAAAAATGAGGGAAAGAGTAACAAGTTTGACAAGAAATGTACTTCTTTCTTATGTACCTGTTACCCCTCTGTACATCACGTTAACACACACACACACACACACACACACACACACACACAACACACACACACACACACACAATAAGAATAACTTTGAAGCTGAGTGCCAGTGGCTCATACCTGTAATCCTAGCTACTCAGGAAGCTGAGATCTGAGAATCATGGTTTGAGGCCAGCCCAGGCAGAAAAGTCCCTGTGAGTCTCTTATCTCAAATAAATTACTCAAAAAAGCTGGAAGTTGGGGTAGGATTGTGGCTTTGTGGTAGAGCACTTGCCTAGCCTTCATGAAGCCCTGGGTTTGATTCTTCAGTACCACATACACAGAAAAAGCCAGAAGTGGCACTGTGGCTCAATTGGTGGAGTGCTGGGAAGTGCCCAGGCCCTGAATTCAAGCACCAGGACTGGCAAAAAGAAAGAAAGAAAAAAAAAAGAAACTGGAAGTGGTGCTGTGGCTCAAGTGGTAGAAAGATAGCCTTGAGAATAAAAAAAGCTCAGTTATAGCACCCAGGCCCTGAGTTCAAGCCTTCAAGTCTCAGGACTAGTGCACACGCACACATACACACACACACACACACACACACACACACAACACACACACACACACACACAACATTGTGTGAACTTTACCTACTTTTAAAAAATAGATACATTTACTGTAGTTTTCAAAAACTCTTCTAAGAAAACAAAAAAGTTTGAATACTTCCTAACTCATTTTATGAGGCTGGTATAAAGTTTACACTAAAACCACACAAAGACAATAGGAGAAAGAAAAGGAAAGGTCAATGTAACTATGACCAAAGATGAAAAATCCTAACAATATACTGAGTAACCAGATTTAGCCATGAAAAATTGTTCATGTAATTTGCCACAGTAATGGACTGAAAAAGTTAGTTCATATAACCAAAAGAGATCCAAGGCCAGCATATGAGATAGTAACCCTGCTTCATGACAGAGAATCACTTTCTAAATGGTATCTATAAAAATCTACAATAAATATTGTTTTTGACAAATGGCCATAAAAGTAATTTAAAGTCAGGAGAAAGCATACTCAACCTTCTCCCAATTTTGTATTAAATTGCTAATCAATGTGACTGCAAAAAAGATGGAGATAGGTGGGTATGAGTTTCACCACTGGGGAAAATAAATCTTATTTGCAGCCGGAGGATTGTGGTTTGAGGCCAGACCAGGCAGAAAAATTAGTAATGATTCCATCTCCAAAATAATCAGCAAGAAGTTGACTGGAGGTATGGCTCAAGTGGTCGAGTATCAGTGTATCAGCCCAGCAAAGGAGAGACTCTAACTTCAAACCCCAGTACAAAAACAAAAACACAACAACAACAACAAAAACCACTCACAAAACCAAAGGTTCCCAGATACAAAGTTAATAGGTAAATATTGATACTATTAAAATACATTAGTAACAAGCTGTGAAAAAATAACTCTTTTTTTTGGTGCTGGCACCAGGGCTTGAACTCAGGCCCTTGCGATTTTGCTCAGCTTTTTCACTCACAGCTGGCACTCTACTACTACTTCAGCTGCATTCCCCATCAAGCATTTTTGGTGATTAGCTGTAAGTAAGAGTCTTGAGGGCTTTTCTGCCTCAGCTTGCCTTAAACCTCATTAGATCTCCGGAGTAGCTAGTATTATAGGCAGTATTATAACCAGTGCCTGGCTGAGAAAAAATATTTTTGTAAAGATCTGCATTCATAATTGCAGCAAATACCATGTAAGATCTAGGAATTTGTCTAGAATATATGTGCAAAATCTTTATGGGGATAATTATAAAATTGTATAAAAGGGCATAAAAATTAAAAAGGCCAAGTATGGTATCCAGCAACTCGGGAATCTAAGGCAGGAGGATCTCAAGTTCAAGACCAGTCTACACTACAAATTGAGACTGTTTTAAAGAAGAAAAAGCTGGGTGCAATGGCTCAAGCCTATAATCTTAGCTACTTGAGAGGCAGAGATGTAGGCAATCACAGCTTCAGGCCAGAATTGGTCAAAAGAAGTTTGTGAGACACCATCTCAGCCAATGGCTGCAAGCTCAGTGACACGGGAAAGCATAAGCAGGGAACTCACAGCCCAGACCAGTTAAGCATGAAGCAAGACACTACCTCAAAAACAACACCACAAAAGGGGGTTAGAGGCCTAGTTCAGGTGGTAGAGCTCCTGCCTAGCAAGCACCCTTTAACGAGCAGTAAGCAAGAAATATAAATGCATAATTTAAAGACAGCTCTAAACTTTAACAACATCTTGCTTTGAGGCAACCTAGGTCTAAATGATCATTTCTTCTAGAAGAAAGTATTAGAATGATTTGTGAGTATGTGAGCCCAAGTTCAAACAATAGAACTAACTAAATCTCTTACTAACTAAATCTGACCAATGATCGATCTTGGTTAAAACTCTTACATCCTGCTTCTGAGTCTACCACAGAGTTTCCTATATGACGCTTTATCTCCAGGGAGCTGAAAAAGAAAATGGAAACAAACAATCAAACCCTCTAGGTTAGTTCACCGCTGGCCTAAGAAATAAGGTGGCTTACAAGTGTATGAATTTGGAGTTGTCATACAATCACACAGGAAATGAAATCTGTTTAAATCATGTTCTTTACCCTGGGGCCACTGGATTTAAAACATTTTCTATGACACAAAGTAAAGAGCAAAAATGAATAAGTAAATAATAAAAGAATTCCTAGTCAGTTACCCAAAGGAACTCCAAAGGGAAGCATTAGCACTTTTCTCAGGTTCCTGCATGCCCGCCATCTACCCACCTGAATATTCTGGCAATATTAGTACACACGTCCTTGTCTCCCATGTACTGGCCAAGCACCATGCAGAGCTGGGGCAGGGCGCTGACACTGAGCATCTTACTTCTCACTAGCGACGAATCGACCATGTTTCTCAGTGTAGCAGTGATCTGCGGTAAAAGCAAGTATGTGTGTCAATTTTTGAGAGTTTCTTTGTTTTTTACTCATATACATATATATTTTACTCCAATATGGTAGGTGTATAAAGGGGCATGTGTGCACGTGCATATAATGTATCCTGATGAACCTCGCCCTCTCTATCATCCTCCCCTATTCCACTCCTCTCTTCCCTAGACATGGCGCTGTTTTTTAAGCTGGAGGATATAGCCATGCCAGGCTACACACCACAGTTCACCCCATCACCCCCATAACTCCATCAGTAAATCAAACCCCTTATGATTCTCTCACAGGAGAATACATCCCCGCACAAGTAACATGAAATGAAAAGACAGAAAGCCTATTTGGGTTCAAAGGTAAAGAATGGAATAATAAATAGCCACAAATGCTGCGACCATGGGATATGTAACATTTTTCTTCTAGTCTCATTGTCTTTGGAGGAGGCAAGACTTGAGATCTTACACACTTGTGCTACTTTGGGGTTTTTTTTTTTTTTTTAATTAAACAGGAAAGCTATCAACTTTAACCTTTGTCCAAGAGAACAATTTAGAGCCAGGCACATGGTTGCTCAGGCCTGTCATCCTAGTACTGAGATGGGAGGATCCCTGTTCCAAGCCCACCTCCCTGGGCAGTCTGTGAGACTCCATTCACGGAGGAAAGTTGGTCGTCACACTGTGAGCCCAGCAGTGCCCCGGAGACTAAAGACGGGATTGCAGCTCAGGTGCGCCCCCTGGTGGGGAGCTAGATCCCATCCTAATATCAGTGCAAAACAGGGTCAATATCTGCCTGCCTAGCAAAAACAAGTCCTTTACCAGTTCTAACACGAGTACTGCTAAGAGAGAAGAGGAAGGAAGGGAAGAGAAAGGCAAAATGGGCTTTAAGATGCTTTTGAAAAAAGCAGACTAAGGAAATAATGCTGCATGAAAGAAACACGAACTTTCTGAAGGGGTCCTGGTGGCCTGTGTGTTTATACCCTGTTCTGTTTCATTCAAGACTGCAGCTCCTTCTCAGGCTCTGAACTCCACACCTGCTCCTTCCACACCTGATTGATCTCCTGTCTGTCTCTTCTCTCCATCACCACGTCCCTGCAACTTCATCTCTTCCCCAGACCCTACAGAGTCCCTGGAAGAACTTCTACAGTCTCTCTCTCATCCCCCCCAGGGCTGCTCGCTGCTGCTGCAGAGGGCTTTGGAAACCCAGCCTTCCTGCTCAAAGGCCAGTGAGATAAGACTTAGGCAAAGAATTCAAAACTGGTGTGTTGTGGACACTGACAGAAGGACCTAAGACATACAGTACAGTCTTGCCAACTTGCAGCTCTCTAAGCCTATGGGAAATGACAGGCTTTGGTTTGACCATGCCAGGCCAAAGGCTCCCGAATCTGATGTGTGAGAGGAATTGGTTATGTTTATTTGAATATCTGGCACTTCATGATTCATAACCTAGTTTTCCAGGAATGACCACCTACAAGTCTGTAGTCTCCAATAAAGGCTTGAGGTCTTGGGACCAGCAACCTAGGCTGCTCCTTCCTGAATCTGCCCCTTATGTGGAAGATGAACTTTTGCTTTGCTTTCACTTTGCTTTGCCTTAATAAACTTTCTCTTTCAAGACTAAGAACCTTCTGCGTAAAATCCAGGAAGCACAGGATTAGGAGGCAACACTCATGTAAAGCTCCTTACTCTTTTTCATTTTGCTTTGTTTTGTTTTGCTTTGCTTTTATACTAGTAGTGGGATTTGAACTCAGAGCCTGGGTCACTGTCCCTTAGATGTTTTGTTTAAAGCTGCCACTTTGCCATGTGATCTACACTTATACTTCCAACTTTTTGGTGGTTAATTGGAGATAAGAGTCTCACAGACTGTTCTGCCCAGGCTGGCTTTGAACTAGGATGCTCAGATCTCTGCATTCTGAGAAGATAGGATTACAAGCATGTGCCACCAGTGCCCAGCTTCATCCGTGTTGACATCCATCCTGCCTCTCCCATCCTACCACAGGATCATCATCACTGATTTATTATGTGTATGTACTGGTCCTGGGGCTGAATTCAATGCCTGGGCGCTGTCCTTGAGCTTTTTTGCTCAAAGCTACTGCTTTACCACTTTGAGCCACAGCTCCACTTCTAGCTTTCTGCAGTTTAATTGGAGATAAGAGTCTCGTGGACTTTCCTGTCCAGGCTGGCTTCGAACCATGATCCTCAGATCACAGCTAGGATGACAGGGGTGAGCCACTGATGCCCAGCATCATCACTGTTCTCATCCCCCTTCATGGCAAACCTCTTTAGTCTACACAGCACTTCTTCCTCCAACTACTCAGAAGCAATAAAATGTGCAAGCAAAAACTCTTCAGTGTTCAGTTACTCACTGGCTGAAGCTAGAGGGAGAAGGGGATGGAGCACGGCAGTGGGGAGGAGGAAGATGAAAAGGAGAAGGGACAAGCAAGGATTTTCTCTTTAAGAAACCTAACAACAGGCTGGGAAGGTGGCTCAGTGGTAGAGCGCTTGCCTTGCATGCCTGAGGCCCTGGGTTCGATTCCTCAGCACCACATAAGCAAAAAGAAAAAAGCCAGAAGTGGTGCTGTGGCTCAAGTGGTAGAGTGCCTTGAGCAAAAAAGCCAAGCAAGAGCACAGGCCCTGAGTTTAAACCTCAGTACCAGCATACGCGCGTGTGCACTTGCGCACGCATGCACGTGCGCGCGCGCGCGCGCACACACACACACACACACACACACACACACACACACACCTTGAATTTAAAAAGTTCAATGGGCTGGGATGTAGCTCAGTGACAAAGCACTGGCCTAGCAAGGGCAATGTCTTTGATTTAACCCCTAGTACCAAAAAAAAAAGACAAAAAGTACAATAAACAAATAAAAAGAAAATTTATTCATAACTGCTGGGCACTGGAGGCTCACACCTGTAATCCTAGCTACTCAGGAGGCTGAGATCTGAGGACTGTGTTTCAAAGCCAGCCTGGGCAGGAAAGTCCATGAAACTGATATCTTCAATGAGTCACCAGAAAAACCCAAAGTGACCCCGTAGCTTAAAGTGGTAGAGTGCTAGCCTTGAGCAAAATAGCTCAGTGATAGCACCCAGGACCAACTTGAAAAAAAAAAAAGTTCAAGGAATTGGCAGACATCTTGGTGAACCAGTACTTAATACCTTGAGACAAAAAAGTCTGGAAGAGGCTACCGGGCAGATGCAGCTATAAAGATTCCCGACCTTGTGAGCAGCCTCCAGTCTTTGGGAGCCTCTGGCAGCCAAGATGAGGGGGAGGGGTGCTGAATGCTTGGACTAATAATTTTCTCAGGGAAAAATGCAGAAAGCTGAGTGGGATGAGAGAAGGTACAAAGTAGAGAGGAAAGGCATTCATGTACCCCAAACTTGAGATGAGGAAATAGAGTCAGAAAGCCTAGGAGCTCCCAGGTGGGCTGACATTTCTTTTATTTCTCCATCATCTGGAATAGCCACAGCCAAACTCCCTGGGGCTTTGTCTCAACTGAACTGCCAATGGCAGAATGGTTCACATCTCACTGATGATGTGAAAGAAGAAATACAGCCACCAGAGACCACAGACAGTATCAAATGATTGAAAACCAAAGCCACACCATTTTCCAACCTCAGTGAAACCTTCTCCTTCTAGTAATAAAAGCAAGTTTCAGGGGTTTTTTTTTGGATTTGTGCCCAGATGAGACCACATATGTGCCCAAATCACAGCCGATGTGGTAACCCAAGAAGTTTCATATTGGCTTAACTATGATTAGTGCCATTCTGCACACATGAAATGAATGGTATCAAAAATGCCAAGGTGCTTTGTTTTTATTGGGATCTACTAAGATATATGCTATGAATGCATTATTCATTCGTAATTTTTGATAATACTCGGTACCTGGCTCCTGAGGTCTCTTTGGCACATTTCAGACCGTGGGTGTCCTATTTCAGCAGGAAATGGTGCTAGCCTCAAGCCGGATGTCCTACTTTGAGCCTCAAACACTTGCCTGCTCATTGTTCTCTTCATATTCTGCCTATATGCCAGTTACCTTAGTAAAACTAGGAGAAAGCTACTATATATTTTAACACAGAAGCAATCTTGAATGGCATATAAACTATATAGAATGCCAAAAAGAAAAGGAATGTAATGAGGGTTTATAAGATCTATCAAGGTGCTGGTGGCTCACGCCTGTAATCCTACCTACTCAGGAGGCTGAGATCTGAGGATCGGATTCAAAGCCAGCCTGGGCAGACAAGTCTGAGAGACTCAGCTCCAATTAACTGGCAAAGAAAAAAGAGAGAGCAAAAAACAAGACAACAAGAAGAACAGAAATGGAGCTACAGCTCAAATGGTAGAGTGCTAGCCTTGAGCAGAGCAAAACAAAACAAAACAAAGTCAAAAGCCTGGGACTTGAATTGAAGTCTGGCTGGCGCACACACACACACACACACACACACACACACACACACACACACACGTCCACACACACATAAGAACTATCAAGTGGTAGAACACTTGCCTAGTATGTGTGAGGCCCAGGGCTGAATCCCAGCACTACAAGAAAATTTAAAAAAAAAAAATGAGCTAACTTAATCACAGGGATTTTCACAACTATCCATTAAAGTTAGTGATATCTATTCATTGTACAATGCATAACGTCCCCAGTTCTGTGAAGAGATGAGGCTGAGCAGACAGAAGTGATGAAAACTAGGGAGACCTAGTTCCTATGCTTGATCTTCCTGTAAGGAGACATCATTAGCATAATCCACCCTTCTAGCTTCCTTATTGGTGAGTGAGGATTGCTTAAGCATCGCATCCCAGCCCTTCCTCCAGCTCTCTTCTCCCTTCCTCTTGCAGGGTGTTTTCTTCTGTCCCTCCAGGGACCAGGGACAGACAACCTGTGACTTTTGATTCAGGATTGGAAAACAAGCTGGCCCTCACCTCCTCTAACCTCAGTGACAACCTCTCCATTCCCACATCCCTTCCTAGTCCATTGTTTCCAAGTTCACCTCCCAAAGGCATTGCCTGCTTAGGGCTCTGGGTCTCCCCACGGCTTCAGATCTGTTGTCTCTGGAGAATCTGGGGCAATCATGAGTTTCCCAAAAAAGGGCAGAGAAGGGAGAAGGAAGAGCTTGGGCTCTGAATGCCTACTTTCCCATGATAACTGTGAGTGGTTAGGATTTGATTTTTTTTATTATGCTGTTTACTGAGATTTGAACTCATGGCCTCAAGAGCTCTTGGGCCACAGTTCCATGCTTAGCTTTTTATTGGTTAACTGGTGATAAGAATCGCGCACAGCCTTCTTCTTCTTCTTCTTTTGGTGGGGGAGGGGAAGATGTTGGGGCTGGCTTTGAACTGTGAGCCTCAGCTCTCAGCTTCCTGAAGTAGGTAGAATTACAGGCATGAACCACCAGTAACTGGTTAGTTTTGCTGCTGGGTTTGGCATTTCTTTATAGGAAGGACAGTTCCTGAAAATAGTTGTCTCCTTCCAGTCAACAAACACATCATTAAAATTGTTTGTGCCATGAAAAAATTAGCAAGCTTAGTAACCAATGCCATGCATTGTGACCATCCAACCTCAGGAACGGTTCACTAAGCAAAATAAACTAGACAGTACTTGTATTAACTCTATTCTTTGCGTATCTATTTCTTGGTTTTGATAACTCCTAGAGTTATGTAAGTTGTAACCATCATGAGACCTCTCTGTACTATTTTTGCAACATTTTGTGAATTTGTACTTAGTTTGAAATAAAAGCTTAAGAAAAATAAAGGGCCAGCCACAAAAGCACCCTGTATATTCCATTTGTATTATGCAGTAGAACAGGAAGAGCTTTCAGTGTGGTGAAAGAGATCAGAAAACTGGCTCTCTTTGGGGGACAGAGAAGTGGGGATTCCTGGGGAGATGTGGGGGGAAGGTTTCTGAGGTAATATGTATCTTGTGTGCCTTGATGAGGATGTCGGCCAGTCACATGACAGTGTACTTTCGTCAAACAGTGTACTTTTGCCAAACAGGCCAGATTTAAGCATTTCACTATATGCCAATTTCTACTCAGTCAAAACTGAAAGAAATCCTCACCTGCTGCCTCCTCTTCAACCCTTCAAAAGAAATATCTCCTTTTTTGTGGTTTAACTGTTAAGTCTCCAATAATCTTATTTTCCAAAAATTATAAAATCAGAATGAAGGAACAGAACTAGAACCCAGGGAGTAGGAAGACTGGCCTTCCTGAAAACTTTGAGAAACCGAGGGGAAAATGACATTGGGATAGAAGGGAGAGAGTGGGACAAGGACTTGGGTTGGGGTGAGTCTCTAGGTTGATGCTTGAAGGCTTAGAGCCAGAGAAGCAGAACAGGATGAGAGGAAAAGAACTCCAGCCAACCATGCTCTGACACAATGCGCCTAACTTCCAAAATGGCCTATTAAAAGCAGGAAGAATTAGACGTTTCTCTAAGGATTGAATTCAAAACAAGAAACAACACAAAACCTTCCAAGACAATACTTGAGTGTTTTCCTCTATGCAATCTCAAGCCATCTGCTATGAAGGAGCTTTCTATCTACACCCATTCCTTCATCTCTATTAGAATCAGTCTAAAAAAACAAAAACAAAAACAAAAAAAACGATAGCAACATCTCTCACTGCATCTGAGATCTGGACTCTCCAATCTCTCTGGCCACAAACACATTCTCCTCCCATCACTTTTCAGCTGTTTGGGCTTGATGATTTAGGATCCTCTAATCATCTTGCTGCCATTCTGATCTCATCTGGTCCTTCCTCGTATTGATCCCAATGGCTCTTACTGCCTTGAGGCCACATTCTGCTGCCTGGCATTTGAGACCCATCATCATGATACCTTCTGCCTCCCTCCCATGACTCCCTACACAGCATGAGGCCCTCAGCATCTCCCAAGACACTATTTATTCCTAAATTAAATATTCCTTTCCCACCTTGTCAGTTTCCCAAAGCCTACGCAGCCTTCAGCCTCCATCCAGCTGCAAATGCTTTCCATCCGTGAAACTCTAACAGGCAGCTGGAGGAAACAGGATGGTGCTTGCCCTAGCCAGATGTTGAAAGTTATTAGGAGGACCCCAGAAAATGCACCAAAACTATTGAGTTCTCTGAGTTGCTGTCATAAAAGATAGCCCATCATCATAACACATAGTGTGGCCTGTTTGTATGTATGTATGTGTCATAGGGCTTAAACTTAGGGCCTGGGCTTTGTCCCTGAGCTTTTTTTGCTCAAGGCTAGCAGTCCACCCTCTTTGAGCCACAGCTCCACTTCTGGTTTTCTGGTGCTTAATTGGAGATCAGAGTCTCACAGCCTTTCCTGCCTGGGCTGGCTTTGAACCTAGCTCCTCAGATTTCAGCCTCCTGAGTAGCAAGGATTATAGGTGTGAGCCATCAGTGCTGGGCTTGTTTTTTTTTAAATCTTTGTAATGTTCTCTTTCTCTCTGGCTTGAAGATATTGACTAATACAACCTCAAGTAATTTTTTTTCGTTTTTTCTTTTTTTTTGGTTGGTTGTGGGGCTTGAACTCTGGGCCTGGGCGCTGTCCCTCAGCTGTTCAGCTCAAGGCTAGCATTCTACCACTTGAGCCACAGCGCCACTTCTGGCTTTTTCTGCTTATGTGATGCTAGAGGAATCAAACCCAGGGCCTCATGCATGCAAGGCAAGCACTCTACCACTGAGCCACCTTAGCCACCAGTAATTTATTTTTTTCTAATTGAACAAGATTGCTTTTTAAAATGTCCTATGGCTGGGACTTAGCAGGTTCTGGAGGGTATAAACAAAGAATTGTGGTTCTGCCCAGGACTTGCTAGTGATACACAGTCCCAAGAACCCTCCAAATCTCTCCTTCCTGTCCTCTCTCCCTTTTCCCCTCCTTTTCATCCTTCATTTCATTCTTTTAGATCTCTCCTTCCCTCCTTCCCCCCCTCCTTCCCTTCCTTCTTTCTTTCCTTCTTCCTTCGTTGTTTTGAGTCTTGCTACATAGCCCAGGCTGGCCTCAAACTCATGATCCTCCTGCTTCAGACTCCCAAGTGATGGGATTAGAAATGTTCCATCTCAGTTGCAGCAGTTTTTATACTCTTCCCTATACTCTTTTACATTTTAACAGAAATGATGATCATTATGTAATGAGCAATAACAATTGTTAATAAGGAAAAATTTGAATCTGACTCAAAACACTGGCAGCTAGAGAATAGTATTTTCTTAAGTTTTCTTAGCCAAAACATAGCACGCCAATAGAACTATGCATCATCCATGAACACAAGAGGTTTTTACCATCTTCTTTAAAATAGATAAAGACCAAAATCCAAAATTAATAATCCTCATAAATATTTTTAAGCATCTTGAAGTCAGGGTGTAAATCTAATTCTGAACATTTTTCTAATGGCTTAGAGCACTCTGAATGCTCAATCAATCATCATTAATTGACAAGCACATTTCAAATAGCATGAGTTATTATATCAAGAATGCTATTTTTCTATATACAAATGCTATTAAGAGTAAAATCTCATCTAAAAGAGAAGATGAGAGCCAGAGCAGCTCCAGTGAAAATAATTGAACTATGAAATTTAATCTGTCGTAAAAGCAGTAATAAAACTCCAACACATAACAAGATTTTCCTTCTTGCTCTGGTCATATTAAATGTATCTAGTTTTGTTCCCTGTGTGCCATTTACATGCCCCGGGCCCGCTCTCTCCGGGGTGTCATTTGCTTCTGCTTCTTGTTGTAGGTAGAAGCGTCATAGCCTCAGCTACCAGTCATCTTAGACGATCTTAGGCCATTCTCATTTCAAAACTCTAAGCACTCAACTCTTTCGCAAAGAGTTGCAACTTTTTCATTCAGACTTGCCTTCTTCTTAGGGCAGTGGAAATAGATGTCCACAAGCTGTGTGAAGGGCTCTATAAGAGCCACGAGTTAGCTTGAAAGGGCACATGGGTGCCCAAGCACATGCTGGGCAGAGGTGGGACAGTGGCTGCCATCCTTGTTCCTTGAGGCTTGGGGCCATTGTTTTGAATGGTAACAGAAGGAGTCATTTTACATAGCTAACTGTGTGTGTGTGTGTGTGTGTGTGTGTGTGTGTATGTGTTGGTACTAGAATCTTGAACTTAAGGCCTCTGGCTCTTTCTTGGCTTTTTCACTCAAGGCTGACCTCTACCACTTGAGCCACATGTCCACTTCTGGCTTCCTGCTGATGAATTGGTGATAAGAGTCTCAGACTTTTCTGCTCCAACTGGCTTCCAACCATGATTTTCAGATCTCAGCATCAACAGGCATGAGGGATGACATGCAGCTACATAGTTAACATTTTTAAGCAAAGCACTTACCTGAACCAACAAGTGGTCCAAATTAGGCACACATGTGCCACATTGCGCAGTATGCTCATTCATTTGCTGGATCAGATTCAGCAATATTTCCACAGCACCTTTGCTGATCATTTCATTAAGGAATCTTGGATTTCCAGAAAGGAATTTGATTGTCCCCATGCAGTATAAAAAGGCTTCAGTGTTAGTTCGCAAGTCTTCACTTCTCAGTACCTCCAATAATGATTCTGTCAAAAACATGAATTACTGTGAGTGTCTAAGTTTTCTTCTAATAGCTGGAAGAGAATATATCAGAGCACTTGTATGTGAGCATCAAATATGATTTGGAAAATATGATCGTCCAAAGCTACATGCAAATGATTGTTACGGGTTACTTAATACACAAGAAAGTATTCTTTAAATTAAATGCTGTCCTCTGCCTCTTACTGATATTTTCTTACTTTGGTTACAAAAATTTTGAGTTATTAATTTAAATCATTACGGGAGTTTAAGAGTTAAATTTCAACAAACATAAGGGTATATTTGTTGCTATATTAAAGGAAAATAAATCAAGATAGGAACTTAAAAAAAAATCTCATTTGCCATAGAAAGGGATAAATGGAATATGACACTCATCCTTTCCTAAGACAACATAAGAACATCTACCCAAATGACATCCAACTACTAGAATAATCCCGGCAACTCTACTCAGGGTAATAAATAATCTCCTATTAAGTTTATCAATGTCAACATTATTGCTTGTTTTCAGTCTACAATTCTCAATTAGGTGACTCATTGACAGACATAGATTTTAGTACTGTTTGGTCTACTGATTATGAGGAGGAGGAGGAGGAGGAAGAGAGGTTGAGATAATTTATTCTGTAATCAAAAAAAAGGCAAAGTCTTTTTTCTTGTGGTGGACACTCAGAGCAGAAACATTAACTCACAGCTGTTCATTTAGGTAACTGTGTAAGCATACAAATTATTTAGGGTATGTCAAGAATTGGTATTCCTTACAATAAGTCTCCATCTATGTTGGCAGCATTTCGATGGCAAACATACAACAGAGCTGTCTCTTACATTTTAGTCATTTCTTGGACATCAAAATAAAATAATTTTTAAATTATATATATATATATATGTATATAGCATGTACACACACACTCTTCTATACTGTCTACTGAAGAAAGGCAGGGAAGATAGGAACTAAGCACTATCACCTACAGTTTTAGGGTGGTTGGGCAGAAAACAAATGGGAGTGATAGAGGGTGAGCCATATTTCTCCAAGTATATATTTTTGTCTATTTTTCTAGCATCTTCATCAATGAAGAAAAGAAATTTGACAATGTCAAAAAGTGACTGCTTTGGGCTGGGAAGGCGGCTCAGTGGTAGAGCGCTTGCCTTACATGCTTGAGGCCCTGGGTTCGATTCCTCAGCACCCATAAACAAAAAAAAAAAAGCTGGAAGTGGCGCTGTGGCTCAAGTGGTAGAGCGCTAGCCTTGAGCTGAAGAGCTGAGGGACAGCGCCCAGGCCCAGAGTTCAGGGCCACGACGGACCCAAAACAAAACAAAACAAAAAAGTGACTGCTTTGTTTTTTTTCTAATAGGAAATGCACAGTTGTGGTTGTTTTTACTATCAATCTGTAAAGCCACTTAAGCATTATAAAAGGCACCTGCATGAATTTTAGAAACAAAAACAAAAGAAAACAACAACAAAGCAACTTGTCACACTGGACTCCACATGAGGCATTAAAGTGAATGTTAGAAACAGAGGAGGGTCAAAAGTCATCCCTACAGCGTCTGCATTTCACTAGAAAATAAAATATCCCTGCTGTTGATAGCTTTTTTTTTCTCAAAGTTTTCATCGTGCTCAGGTGCAACATTCACTCTGTAGCGGCACTGCCAAGACTCACCCAGAATGTTGTCATTGTGAAACAGAGAATCGTTCTTCTCATTCCTACTAATTTTAAATATAAGCTTGCAGATATTAAGCAGATTCTTTCTACTCACTTTAAGCTGCAGAGAAAGAAAACACTTTCATTTCTATCATAGAAGGAATAAAAACATGCCATTAAAAACACATCCTATCAAAAATGCAGCAAATATATTTTTAAGTATAAGTACAAGTTCTAAAGAAACAACTTTGAAAGTTTTAGGCTACATATTTGGCAGCTATAATGTCCAGTTAACCCAATTATACTTAGTACAATAACAAGTTTTGTTTTGTTTTTTGGTGGGTTGTAAGGCTTGAACTCTGGGCTTGGGTGCTGTTCCTGCTCTCTTCAGCTCAAGGCTAGGGCTCTACCATTTGAGCCACAGTGCCACTTCCGGTTTTCTAGTGGTTTTTATTGGAGATAGGAGTCTCACAGAGTTTCCTGCCCCAGCTGGCTTTGAACCGTGATCCTCAGATCTCAGCCTCCTGAGTAGCTAGGATAACAGGCATGAGCCACCAGCGCCCAGGTAATAACAAGTATTTATTTCTTCAAAATATTGTGTGTTTGGGGTAGGGGGGCAGTTACTGGGGCTTGCACAGTGGGTCTTGCATTCCTCACATGGCTTTTGTGCTTGAGGCTGGGGCTTACCACTTGAGCCATACCTTTACTTCCAGTTTTGGGTTTTTTTTCTGATTAGTTGGAGATAAGAGTCTGTCTGATTTGTTTGCCAGAGATGGTTTCAAACCCAGATTCTCAGGTATCAGTTTCTTGCATAGCTAGGAATACAGGCATGAGCCACTAGCACCTGGTTTCAAAAATGTCTTGTTTTAGGGCTGGGAATGTGGCTTAGATATAGAGTGCTTGCCTTGTATTCATGAAGTCCTGGGTTCGATTCCTCAGTACTACATAAACAGAAAAAGCTGGAAGTGGAGCTGTGGCTCAAGTGGTAGAATGCTAACCTTGAACAAAAGAAGCTCAGAGACAGTGTCCAGGCCCTCAGTTCAAGCCCCAAGACTGGCAAAAAAAGTTTTAAACATAAAGTTATTAATTATTTTTAGAAGAGCATATGGGAAAAAAGATCAAAAGCGTGCCAGGGAGAAAGGGAATAGGACATTGCTGATTGAATTGAACAGAGTCATTGCTTGAAAACACAAAATTAAAAAAAAATGAGAAACCAAAATTCCAGAGTAAACTGATTTAGAAAAGAACCCATGGCAGAGATGGGGAGAAAATAACAATGATATCATGTTCTCCTCTGTCATTTGCATTAAAGAGAAAAGGAACACTTTGATTAGATTATACACACATGTTTATTTTTAAGGCAATTCTGGGGTGCCTTATGATAATCATTAATGTTTAAAGTTGAAAATTACTTTCTAAGTCATGCAAAAAATCCAAGTAAACACAGAGCAATAAGGAAGTATACTTTCTTTTCAAGAAAAGCATGACTTGGATGATTAGCTGAATCAACGGTCTAAATTAGCTGAAGTAATAAAATAAACACACAAAAAATTAAAATGTCCAATGTTAGATAAACCATTACATTAAGCACACATTAAGGCACAAAGGCCTATCTTGAGATCCCTAAAGAGAACATCTTTCTCATTACTGTTAGAACAATATTGTTTAAACCTCAGAAAATAAGCTGACCTAATAGGAAAAATAAGCTGGTGTGGTGGTAGTCTGCAATCCCAAAGCTCTGGAGCCTGATTCAGGAAGATCATGAGTCTGTGTGTTTGTACATCCTAGGACTTGAACTCAGGGCCTGCATGCTGTCCCTGAACTTTTGTGCTCTAGGCTGATACTCTACCACTCGAGCTACAACTCTACTTCTGGCTTTCTGGTGGTTAATTTGAGATAAAGAATTTCACAGATTTTCCTGCCTGGGATGAGTTGGAACTGTGATCCTCACAAATTAGCCTCAGGAGCAGCTAGGATTACAGGCAAAAGCTACAAGGTTACAAGTTTAAGGCCATATTTAAGCTATATTATGAGACTCCATTAAAAAAATAAACATACAAACCTAAAAATAACCCCTTCTCCCCCAAATCATGTGATCACATGTATGACATGTGATATACTTCATCCATGAATGAATACAATGACCCAGTGCCCAAGCCTTACGCATCTAGTGAAAAGTGGCAAAGAAAATGAAAATGTTTGAGGTCAGCAATACAAGCAAAAACAGAAAAACAAAAGAAAAAAGGGAACAAAGAAAGAAGAAAGAGGGCTAGGAAGGTGGCTCACTGGTAGAGTGTTTGTCTTGCAAGCATGAAGCCCTGGGTTTGATTCCTCAGCATCACATAAACAGAAAAGACCAGAAGTGGCACTGTGGCTCAAGTGGTAGAGCACTAGCTCTTCAGTTCAAGGACAGCACCCAGTACTAGAGTTCAAGCCCCATGACCAACCAAAAAAAAAAAAAAAAGGAGAAGAAGAAGAAAGAAAAAAGGAAGGGAGAGAAAGAAGAAAGCAGAATGATAGCCTATGACAGTTTATATTCCAAAGCCAATTCCTATAACTTGATGTATTGATATCACAGGCTATTGAAAGCTTCTCATAACACGATGATGAAATTATATGTAAGGACTGTAGACTGAGTCATCCAATTCTGCCCCCCTTCCTTTTGTCCCCAGGGCTCCCTGGGCCCGCGGGCACTGCCGGTCCACTGCTTCTCCCTTCTCAGCCAGGCCCAGCCTATCACATTCAGTGTGTTCCCAGGGGGAGGCAGGATTCCTGACAAAGGTTTGCATGGCAGGGTGCTTTTCTTTTTATGTTAAAAATAAGACTTTATTTGAGTTAAAGCAAGTTTGGCAAAAGTAAGAAAGGTAAGAGAGGTTGACAAAGGGTTTCTAATATTATCTCTCTGTATAATCACAGTTGACATCAGGGCTCCTCTGCTTCTGTCTCTGTGTGAAAGCAGCTAATTTTTTTTTCCCCTCTGAATATCGTGGTATTCATACCCATACCGGATGATATATGTTCATTCTTCTGAAAAAAAAAATCTTAATACAGACTGACGTATTTTTGAAAGATTTCTTTTATGGATATAAAAGTTAAAATTAAGATGGCTTTCTAGAAATCACCATGTAACCGAAAAATATGAGAAATCAGAACAATGTTCACGGAATGCTTTTAACTACAAATATTTTTAAATGTCTGAATGATAATATTAAACTAGCAGCTAAGCTAACTAATGGCAGAAAAAAAAGAGACATAGAATCATAAAAACCAAAACAATAACAAGGAAAAAAATCCTTAAAGTTCCATTTGTCTTTCCTAGTTTTTCTTTACTAGTTCTTAGGCTAGGGTCTTTTGAAAATTTACATAGAACTCCATGACCAAAACCCACCCTAAACAGGATCTTGCCTGGAATGGCTTTGGACATTCAAGAACTAGATATAAAGTTGGATTTTGATGGTTTTGAAGAGCTTCTGGTTCTGTGGCTAACCAGAAGGCCCAGCCTACTTCAGTCTGTACCCTGCAATTTAACCCAGAGCCCTGCCTTGATTTCAGCAAGGCAGCTGATGTCCCCCACAGGGCTTTTCCTCTCACATAGCTTGTTCATCTCACGTGTCTTTGATGCTAGCAGATTATTTAGGCTTTTGCCCTAAAATAGTTAAATTGTGTTCTGTATATAATTAGCTTGAATGACCTTATCAATAGCCAAGGTAATATTTTCTCTGCAAAGCATTTGTGATTTCCTGCCTTGCTCTATCTTTTCTTTCTTTCTTTTTTGACTTGGTGCAGAACAAGATGTCTAGAATCTAGCTGGTAAAGCACAGTCAATTCTTGAGCTCTAGCTCAAGGGTCTTGCCTGGGGTGGCTAGCTACACCAGGAAAGTAAAATCATTTTTTTCTGGTGGTGCTGGGGATTGAACCCAGGGCTTTATGCATTTGAGGTGAGCTCTCTACCACTGAACTATACCCCCAGCCTAAAAGCTGGTATTTCAAATACATCTTGTACTCAGAGTCATAGATCTCAGTTTCTAAGAAGGGAATGTGAACAGTTTAGGATAACAGCTAAAGAAGAAGAATGTAGCCTCCACCCAAAATTGCATGGATTATGCTGTTAGTATATTCTGTTTTATGAAAGGCTTCATTATAAAAAATAAGACACAGTGGACACTTTGACTACACTATTAGTAAGCATGCCAACGCTCTCTTTCACTGTGTGCTTTACGATATGAATTATGGAGCACTAACATAAAGCTTTGATTTTCATGACACCACATAAACAAAGCTTCATTCATTAGTTTCTGTGGCTCTCTTAGAACATTCCATAATGATTAGGGCTTATCTCTTGGTTCCAACTGTTTATGGCTGTGACAACAAAGCGTTCCACTCAAACAATGATATTTTGTTCCAGGCAGTTTCTACAGACTTTTATTTGGTGTCCGGCCTTTTCTTCTAACACTTTATTGGGCCTTCCTGTGACCACATGCAGCTGGTTTCCTCATTCACACTGGTTCATAAAGCACCTGGCCTTTGTGTCTGTGACCCAAATTAAGTTATTTCTTTAATCACATGACAGAATTGGCAGCTAGCCAACTACAGGGCAGAGACCTTGCTTGTACCATCTCAGCCTGTGACCCCAATCAAGTCACTTTAGTAACTGTTCTGAGTAGATTTAGTGTTGTTGCTTTTTTCTTTCTTTTCTTGCCTTTTATTTTTCTTTCTTACTATCACTAGGAGCAGGTGGCTCACTGGTAATCACAGCTACTGAGGAGGCTGAGATCTGAGAATTGCAGTTTGAATTCAGCCTGGGCAGGAACATGGGTGTGATTCTTTATCTCCAATAAACTACTAAGAAATCAAGAAGTAGAAGCTGTGGTTCAAGGGGTAGAGCATTAGCCTTGAGCAAAAAGAAGCTCAAGGACAATGCCCAGGGCCTGAGTTCAAACCCCACGACCAGCAGGTAAGCGCGCGCACACACACACACACACACACACACACACACACACACACACACATTATCCATTTATAAGTTTACCTGAATATTTTCTATGCACTCAGCCTTAATTCTTTAGATAAAACTCTCTAGGTAAAATTCTGGGGTGCCAGTTTATCACCTTCCATTTTTGTTCAAGATTCTAAACAAATATACTGAACTTCCAATCCTTTTCTAAAATAAATACAGATAAAGCATTCAGTAAAACATGTCTGTTCTTTGGTCTACTGGACCAGAGAAAGGAAGAACTTACTGCTAGGATAAGTTTGGCAAGTTTAAGGCTGAGTGAGTCTGAGCCAACATCTACTAGTTTGTACAATGTCTTCAGCAGAATACTTCTTCTCTTAAACTTGTGTCCAAGCAGGTTTCCTTCCTCTAAAACATGATGGAGCTGTGTACAAGCAGCACACACTGTCCCAATGTCTTCTTCTGTCAGAGCAAAGAAAGCAAAGCAACACTTGCTCATTAGGTTCCAGTTCCCAGATGTGTCAAACTCAATTTAAGTAAAAGTAGAACATAACAATAACAATAAAAACAAAACAACCCAGTATTTCCCTGGACATTAAATTCCTGAACACTATTTTCCCTTTTCATATCACTTCTATTTACTTAGTTTTGGGTTGTTTTTTTTTTTTCATCTCTTTGATCCACCTCCTACCACATTGAGTTATTTACTAATCAGGCAGTTAAGGTATCTTGAACCCACAGAGCATATTAACGAATGTGACCTGCACCTATTTTGGTTGCTGCCATCTGTCTCCACCCGTGATCTGCATGGTCTCACAGAAATATTAACATTTGCATCTTCATCTCAACTCTAGTTCCATTAGTCTAGAATGTCCTCCTTACCTTTGTTCCTATTTTTATTGTTTTGGCTCCTCAAGAAAAGAGACATAATTCCACACTCAACACCAATATTTGCCCTGTACTGGTATTTACAGTGCAGGTGTAAATGTGTGTGCTGTTCTTTGTACCCAGTACCCACAAATTGTGCCATGCTAAGGGAGTGGGGACCCTATCTTAACTATCTTTGAATCAATGGCCCAAAATGTGGCAGAACTGCTACACAATCCATAACACAACCTCATGCATACTCATTTTTTAGTATATTGAGCAATGAACATAAGCAATGAACATAATCTCCCTAGGAGAACAATGATTGTCAGTGGAAAAAAGAGGGCCCTTTTTTGTGTGGAAAGCTCAAAAAGTCCCCAAACCCAAAAAGAAAGTTTTCATTAGGAAACGGGGAGATGGAGGACATTTTCTTTCATAGTTATGAATGTGAGGAGGGCAAATTTGAAGGGTGGTCATGATGAGAGTAGGCAGGCCTGGATAAGGAAGAACACAAAAGAGGAGGATGAGGAGAATAAAAGAAGTCAAAAGGTAGGTATCCTGTGTAAAAAAATATTATCTCTGCTAGATTTCCATCACACAATTTAAAACTAGGAAACCAATCTTAAATAAATATCATAATGCGCTCTTAGAAGCCCACATGGAGGAAGTGATGCCTGCGGGGGGAAGTGACTCAGGCCATTTTTAGCTCTGTTCAACAATAACATCTAAGACAAATATTTTAAACCTCAATAGTGAGGCCACCTTCAATGCCTTTCAGTTATACACTTAAATAAATGAATTGATGGGAAATGATTTAGACCAACCTCAAATAAAGGGAAAAGACTGAAGTCTATCGTATGAAACACTTTGGTTATGTCGTTTTGGTCTTGTGTGACTGGCAGTTTCTTCACAAGTCCCAGGTCCCGGGGCTCTGGGCCGGGCAGTGGTTGCAGTCAGTGATTGATCCTCAAGATATTTTTCTACCACTTTTCCTCACAAGAGTCTGCAGCTTACTAGGCTCTATGCAAGAGTGATTGTTTTAGCTTAAAATTAAAAGAGAAAGACTCCAGGGTCAAAATTTAAACTATGGGTCAAACAAACCTATACCAGTTTATCATTGGTTTAAGAGTGTATGGCTTGACAGATAACTTGGCAATACTAAGCTCTCAATGGGCCAATAAAAGTTTGGGGAATAAGCCAGGAGCCAGTGGCTCACATCTGTAATCCTAGTTCCTCAGAAGGCTGAATTCTGAGGATCTTAGTTTGAAGCCAGACCAGGCAGGAAAGTCCATGAGACTCTTATCTCCAATTAACCTCCAAAAAGCCAGAAGTAGAGCTGTGGTTCAAGTGGTAGAGTACCAGTCTTGAGTGAAAAAGCTAAAGGAAAGCATCCAGGCCCTGAGTTCAAGCCTCTCAGTACTAGAACATACACACAAAAAAATGTCTGAGAAATAATAGAGAATAATATAATCTCAGGGCAATTTTGCTTCACAAGCTCCTTAGTAATTATCAAGGGGAAAAGAGCAACTCTGTTACAGAGGATGAGGCTGGTACATACCACCTGGCCCAAGAGATCAAAGGTCACATCTCCAGGAAGATACTAGTCAGCATCAAGGCACTGAGAAGAACTCAGAATCTTCTTGCAGATGCTGACCCAAAGGCTTAGTCCAGGTCTCACTGTGAGAGAACACCAGACAAATCAGTTAATGGGCTGCTTTGTTCAATTAAATGGCCTGAATTCTTCAAGCATATCAAGATCATGAAGGAGATGTGACAAATGATTGGAACTTGTGACCAGGATTTTGTTGTTCTATCAAGGACCTCCATGGGGGCCTTCAGACAAATGGCTCAAGTAGTAGAATACCTGACTAGCAAGTATGAAGTTCTGAGTTCAAACACCAGTACTACCAGGGAAAAGAGAGAGAGTGAGTGACTTTAAAAGAAGTCACTGGCAAAATCTAATTAAGATTTATTTAATATTGCATGATAATTTCCAGGCATGGAAGAAAATGCTCCTGTTTCTACAAAACACAGGTCAAAGCACTTAGTATATCAGTAACTTGTTCTCAAAAGGTTTAAAGAAGACAATGTGGCTGGGAAGGAGGCAGAAAGAGAGGGGAAGAGAAAAGGGAGAGAAGAATGGTAAGAAACTAGGATTGGTATTGGTATTGGAGACTCTTTTGAAACCACTCTGCAACTTTTTTGTATGCCTAAAATTATGTCAAAAGAAGTTACACCTAATCCCATGGTGCCAAGTAATCCAGCCTTGCCATCATCTGTATTTCTTAAAGTCATTTGGGAAGAAAGGACATGTAGTCATGTTCCAAACCCCACCACGGGGCCCTAACTCCTCTCTATTTGGTGTCCAAGATGGGAAGAGCACTGGTAAGACACACATTTCCTAAATAAAGAGCCAAAGCTCACCCAGCACACTAACAGAAGGAGACAATGTAGACACACACATACTCTTAGGATGTGGGGATGCAAGAGACTTTGCAGGTGATCCAGTCTCATCTGCCTGTGGCCTGGCAGGTGAAGACACTACTGCACACAGAGTGTAGGTGACTCCCCACCGCCAACACCACATTAGGAGCAGCTCCAAGACCAGAGATCCTGTCCAGGACTCCAGCATTACTCTGAGCCCAGCCCAGCAGAAGCAGGATGCCCTCAAGGATGAGCCCTTGGGAGACTCAGGAAACAGGGCTACTGCATACCTCCTGGCCTACTTGGGGCAACCCTTCTCATAGGGCATCTGCCCATACCTGCCACTGGTTTGCATATCTACACAGCATTCACGCAACATTTACCATGCGTGGGGGGGGTACTGTGTGCCAGGGTACCAAGCACTGGGTTGGGGCCTGGGGCTGGGACTTGAGCTGGTTCATGTTCAGAGCTACAAAGAGGGAGGAGAGCGGGGAGCCATTCTCTGAGCAGCTTCCCATAACCATGTAGGGCCTTCACCCCAGGCCACTTCCTAGGCTGCCAGCTAGATCAAGAAAACTGTGGGCACAGCTGTGAACCTCCAGCGTCTGCCTTGAGATCTATTTGCAGCTTCCACTTTCTAGAATATGAATGGTCTCCTTAGAGAGGTGAAAGCAGCACTTCCTCCACAAAAGGAGAGATCATTAATGTGTGTCATAAGGGGAACCATAGAAGTGGTTCTCTGGGTGGAAAGTATAACTTGATTCACTAAAATTTTTGGTTTATATGCAATATTTAACTTTGTGCATATGTACTGGCAGTGGGACTTGAACTCAAGAGACTGAGCACTGTTCCTTAACTTTTTGTACTAAAAGCTGACATGTTACCACTCAAGCCATAGCTCTACTTCTGGCTTTTTTTTGGTGGTTAATTGAAGATAAAGTCTCATAAACTTTTCTTCCAGGGCTGTCTTTGAACTGTAATCCTCAGTTCTCAGCCTCCTGAGTAGCTAGGATAACAAGCATGAGCCTCCAGCACCTAGCTATAATGTAACATTTATTATACTAATTCTTGGGTAAATAAATAGATGCCGTCTCGGTGTGTGTGTGTATGTGTGCCCGTGCGCACATGTGTGTGTATATGTATTGTATGTGTATTGTGTACACATGTGCTCACAGGTCCTGGAACTCAGGGCCTGGGCACTGTCACTAAACTTCTTTTGCTGAAGGCTAGTGCTCTACCACTTAAGCCACAGCTCCACTTCTGGCTTTTTTTTTTTTTTCTTAAGATCCTCAAAACCTCAGCCTCCTGAGTAGCTAAGCTTACAATCATGACTCACTGGCATCTAGCAACTTCATTTGTTTTTTATTCCATCCACATGATACTCAATGGAAATTAAAACTATCAGGCTAATAGAGAACATACAAATAATCACAGATTTTTTAATTTAAAATAAGAACTGTTCTCTTACCCTTTTCTAATTCATGCAAAATCGGCACAACCCTTGTATTCCAAAAGAGTTCATCAACTTCTATTTCTGCATCCTTTTCTTTCAAGTTGGCTTTTGAGACTGTGAAAGAAACCCAGAGAAGAGAAAGTGAAATGAGAGAGAAGTGACGGTGGTTATGGACAAGGGCCTTTCCTACTTATTTCTAAAATCAACAAGGTAAACAGTTACATTTTACCTGGCCTTCTGCACCCTCCACCAAGCCTAACTAACTCTAATTATAGCTACAAGTCTTTTAGCCAAAGAACCCCAAATAAAACTCAGATGTTGCAAAGAGACTAGAACTTTAAAACATGCTAGTGCTTTGTGTTCATCAGTCACAGAAACTGTTTTGAGTTTTTAAAACATATTCCACGGAAATATAGTACAGATAAACTATAGATATATAAAGAATAAAGACTTTGAACATCTTTTTATTTTTTATATTATATTTTGGCAATATTGGTGTTTGAATTCAGAACCTCATGCTTGCTAGGCAGAATTCTACCACTGAGCACCAACCACAGCCCGTTCAGATAGGTTTTGCCCAGAGATGGCCTATGAACAAGATTGCCTTACCTACACTTCTCACATGGCTGGGATCACAGGCACAACACATTGTTCCCAATTAATTTGTTCAGATGCGGTCTGGCTAACTTTTTGCCCGGGCAGACCTCAAATCTTAATCCTCTAGAGCTCTGCCTCTTGTGTAGCTGGGATTACAGGTATGAACCACCTCACCTAGACAGATACTTTCAATACTTAATGAAATTTCTTCTAAAAGGACTGGAAAAAGAGCTTGTTTTCTTGTTTGTTTTTCCAGCCAGTAAAGCATAAATTTTAATCCATGCTATTTGCCCCTGATTTCGGTAAAAGGCATCAAGTTCTCTTAAAAATATTTTAGAGTTGCTTCTTGTGGGCCTAGTATTATGTCCGTTGTTTCATGCACTACTCCGATAGTAAGCTTTGGATTTTTTTTTTTTTTCTTTTCGGAAGATTTCAACACAAAACTTGTGTTAGGGCAGAGGTCTATGAAAAGTTTCTTTTCTTTCCGTGTGTGTGTGTGGGGGGGGTGCGTTGAAGCTTGAACTCAGGACTAAAGAGCTTATTTTCTATAGCAAATAAAAAGTCTAGATTAGCCTGACACTGGCTGGTGGCTCACGCCTGTTATTTTAACTACTCAGGAGGATCTGAGGATCGCAGTTCAAAGCCAGCCTGCACAGGAAAGTTCATGAGACTCTTATCTCCAATAAACCACCAAAAAACTGGAACTGGTGCTGTGGCTCAAGTGGTAGAGCTCTCTCCTTGAGCTGAAGAGCTCAGGGACAGCACCCAGGCCCGAGTTCAAGCCTCATGACCCAAAAAACAAGTCTAGATTATATTGGGCCTGTAACATCAAAGCAAGTAATTTCCTGTGGGGTATGGGGAAAAGCCTGGGTTTTCCCCCACCCCTTTCTGTCACTGGTGCATTGTGTGACTGAGGTCTAATCTCTGGTCCTTTCTGAGCCCTGGTTTCCTCATCAGCAAAACAGAAATGAGAACATTTGCCTTCAGGGTTATGAAAACTAGAAGATATGGTCAAGGTGAAAACTAGAAGACATGGTCTAGGTGAAATGCTGTGTCTGGGATCATGCAGCTAGCAACACTCAAGTTCCATGGAGTCCTTTTCCCTGGCTGGTCACTAACTACAATGTGCCACAGCTGTGACATGAGAAGTCCATGCTGCCAGTGCAAGAAGCTTCCAGAGCAATGCTGCCAGGCATGGCACCCACTGGGTGCTGCAGCCTCTATTCTACTTTTACAGACAAGGAAAGTGAAATCCAGACTATTGAGTTATCTGTCTGAGTTTATAATGCCCTGAAACTCTTGCATTAGGTCTCTAAGATATTGTACCCACACCAATCCAGCAAACGAGTATGTGGGAAATGTAAATCAATAAACTCCTAGTCATGATTACCATTCAGAAGAAACCCAAGATCCCAAACATTGCCTATGTCCTCTGCAGGGGGCGCTACTGGCTGATGTGCAGAGGATCCTCAGCAGTGAGAAGTGAATTCCAGTTCTTCAGCCATCTCTGAAATCCATTGGAAGCTCCTGGCCTGGCAACTAGTCTCTATTAGGGGGGAAGAATCTAGCACCTCTGAAAGTGAACCAGGTACCACAAAAACATCAGACAACGTTAGAAATCATAGGGGCAACCACAGAGTTAAACACAGACAGACATATAGACACACACACACACACACACACACACACACACACATCCCGGCATATTTTTAGTTTGACCAAGAAGTCTTGTTAAGAGCAGTGTCTGGGGGCTGGGAAGGTGGCTCAGTGGTAGAGTGCTTGCCTTGCATGCCTGAGGCCCTGGGTTCGATTCCTCAGCACCACATAAGCAAAAAGAAAAAAGCCGGAAGTGGCGCTGTGGCTCAAGTGGTAGAGAGCTAGCCTTCAGCTGAAGAGCTGAGGAACAGCGCCCAGGCCCAGAGTTCAGGCCTCACTACCGGACCCCTCCCAAAAAAAAAAAAGAAAAGAAAGAGCAGTGTCTGGATCTGAACCACAGCTGTGCTGTTTGACCTTGGTCAAGTGAAGCAACAATGATCTTAAGCATTGGGATTATGGGGTGTTAATTCTTTATGTGTTCCTCTGTATCTTCTAAAACTCTTGATGAGGAAAATAAAACATCAGCTATTAAAATATGTGTGCACATATCTTACCAAATATCCATATGAGAATTTCCTTAAGAGTTAAAATAAAATTGTCTGCAACAAGAAATCCCATAAAGTCCCTTCTCAATTATCTGTATAAATAGCAGAGAGACCCATAAAGGCACATATTAAAAATTCACTTGAATTCAGAGATGTCTGAGATGAGTTGCTATTCCATCAAATGAGAAATGTTCTACGCACAGAGTGCAGCTGTTTCCCAGGAAAATCAGGGAAGCTGTATGATTCCCTCCCGGTCAACACTCACCCCAAATCTGCTTCACCTCCCCACTGTGTTCTAGAGACAGCCACACCCCGTTGCAAGTCTAGGCTTGCCTCTTAGCAGATTTCTCTGTGCCAAGAGTGTCCAGCCACACCCAGCATGGAAGCAAGAGCACTAGGACAGCCAAGGTAAGTAGGAAGGACTTGCCAACGAAGCTGTAATTAAACCGTGAAGGAATTGTGAGTAGTCTTCTGCAGATCAAAATCAGTTCCTAGCAGCATAGGCTCACAATCCTCTATTCAAAACTTTTGGGAGCAATGTCTGGACTTTATATTAAAAAAACAACACTCCAATAGAATCTTCTGGGGAGAAGAGCCTATCACCTTATATTTGTAAATATTCATACTAACAAAACAAATGATTGGTTTCCCATCAGCTCAGATCTGGTATTGCCATTCAGTAAGACTGAAAGATACTTCAACCTCTAGAGCTCTGAGATTTCAGATTGCAGATGAAAGAAAATTACAGCCCAACTCTGTCACTCTCTTGGATCAGTATTTTTAATCACTCTATCTTAACTTTGGTATATGTGTGTGTGTGTGTTATTTTAAAAATAAATGTGAATATTCAGGCACTATAAAAGCATAGTTGCTCATACTCCTAGGGAGCCAACCAATTCAAAGTATGTTCTCAAGACAAGCCAAAAGCCAAAAGATAGCAAGTAAATAATAATCAATTTAATCAACACATACTTTGACCCACTTGAATTACTAGAAATACTGACTTTAGCCCCCAAAGTCCAAATCACCATTGTGTGTGTGTGTGTGTGCGTGTGTGTGTGTGTGTGTGTGTGTGTGTGTATGTGTGTGTGTGTGTGTGTGTGTGTGTGTGTGATGGTACCAGGATTTAAACTCAGGGTCTGGGTGCTGCCCCTTAGCTTTTTTGCTCAAGGCTGGTGCTCTACTATTTGAGCCATACCTCCACTTCCCACCTTTTGCTGCTTCACTGGAGATCAAAGCCTCACAGACTTTCCTATCTGAGCTGACTTCAAACCTTGATCCTAAGATCTCAGCCTCCTAAGATTGTAAGTGTGAGCACTGGTACTAGGCCCAAATTATTTTGATCTTTTCTGTAATATGTTCCTTGATAAAGAGTGCCAGGAAAGGCTGTGATCATCAACCTGTTTATCAAGACAATGGGACAGTCCAGAAAGAGTAGACCTCAGGCAGCCTTGTAGTAGAGGGGTGAGCCAGTATCACAAAACAGCAGATTTAACACTGCCAGGCCTTTGCAAAGTTGTATCAGGCTATGGCTTTTTACCTCTTTGCCTCCACCCCATGCATCTCCTCCTTGCAATCTCCTCCTGCACCTCACCTTCATTCCAGATACTGTCTCTCATACTTGCATGTATGCATGCATACACGTATATTCATATCCATGCATGCACACACACATACACACACACACTAGTAAGGTTTGTCTCGGTCTTAGGGAAGAACTCAATATTTTAGAAAGCACTTTCATCATGATTTACAGTTTGCTAAATATAAAAACTATGATTCAACAGGAAATTGAGTAAGTCAAGAAAAAAAAAATTCTGCCTGTGTTTGAAGGTTTTGCTGTCTAAGAGGTTATATCTGTTAACTGCAGCTCTGTGTTCTGAACACAAAAGCCTGACACAATGATAGGATTGGCTGATGTTTTTAGCATGTAAATGCCAGGTCCTTAGCAACAAATGCTGTCTTGGAAATCAGAATATTAGCTTCTTCCTGAGTATTAGAAGAATTCCTAGTAGTCACAAAAAGTATTTCATTAATATTTTAAAAGACATTTAACCAAGTACTACTTTTATATTATTACTGTTGTTGTTGAGACAACGTCTTGCTACCTAGCCCAAGCTGGCCTCATGATTCTCCTGCCGCAGCCTCCCGTGTGCTGGGATTATAGATGTGCCCCATAACGTTCAACATAAAGATTATCCGTACCATAAAAAGGAAAAAATCCGAGGAATATAAAAATATTTGTGTACCCTGATTAGTTTGGTCAGATATTAACATTTTGCCATATTTTTGTTGTTCCCCTCATTATAAAGAAATAATGCAGATATAAAGCTCTCTGCATACTTCCCTCTACACTTCTCCTGTAACCCCATGGGGTTATATTATTCTCAATCAGTGGTATTTGGGATTTTACATGGTTTCACAGGTTACCATATAGATCCATAACCCAGGATTTATGCCCTTGACTTTGAAACTTTTTTTAAATCTATGTCTTTAGTCATTACAGTCAATATTACAAACACACTTTTGTTCATTTTTCTACCTGCCTTATTTTGTTGTATGAACACATTTTGTATCATTTTTCTAGTCTATAGTTTATATTATGTATTTTTCCCAACTCTACAGTATTAAGCTCCCCAAACACTATCTTTTTATAGTTAATAGAGTTTCATTTAAGGAGCAATGTTTTTGAACTCAGGTGATGAACCTTAGAGCTACTTAATGTCAAGTCTGGCAACCTTCAGAATACTTTTGCTACATAATTTCTGTAAAATTGTTAAGACCATCATCAACCCACATTTGAGGCACCAGAGCTGGCTAATGGCAAGACTGTTATGAAACCACAAAAAACGGATCAAAGTAACTGTTGACCTTTGACCCTGCTGGACATGGTTGCTGGAATTTTCTTTCACAAGCCAGCCAACAGCAGACATCTTCCTGCACAAGTTTTTCCTACCAATGTAGATGCTGCAGCTGGCGTTTTGAGAACGTGGATGGAACAGGAGCTCCTCACCTGCTTTGATTTCCAACCTGCTCAGGTCTGAGCTGCTGGGGCATGAGGACGCCCTTGTGCGCCTCTTCCCTGGCTCCCTAGGAAAAAGCAGAATTCGTGTAACGCAGCACAAAACACCAAGGCTTCTGCAGTTTTGTAAATTATGTCTGTGTGGTCCGGTTTCTGAAGAAACCACAGAGAATTGGTTTCTAAAATGAGGTTTGATGCTCTGTTATCTTGCTTTCATCAACCTTTAGTTTCCTATGGAGATTTATCTTGGGAAAACAATTCATTGGCATTTCAGTATAGGAACTATGTTTGCTAGAAAGAACAAGAATCCAATCTTTGCAAAACAGAATTGGTTAAGGATATGGACCACAAGAGGTCACTGTTAGAATAAGAAAGAGCCCTGGTGGAAGATCTCAGGCCAGGCCAGCAGCCTCTGGGAGGTGGGAAAGCTAAACTCCCCTCTACAGTCAGGAGGGAAGGAGGCGGTGCTGAATCTCCAGATATGCCCAAGGTCACACAGCCGGCTCAGTTTTGGAATTCAGGTCTCTTAATTTCCCATTCTTTCCACTACATCACAGAATGTCCTGTTTCCATTTTAAAACTTAATTAAATTATTATTTTTCCAAAAAAATATTTTCTTAGGAATATTTTAAAAGTTAAAATATAAAAAACCCTAAAGGTACATTCCAACAGTCCCGGGTGGGCGAATATTTTGTGCTCCACATAAAGAGTTGTGCTGGCTAATGGCAGGTCTTAATGCTTATGGTTTTACAGATATAGTTCATGGAAAGCCTTTCTTGGGTGGATACTTCTCTTAGAGCTGATACTTAAAAGTACTTAGTTATAAATAGCTGCATCAAATTCCAAGATTAAAAAAGCACTGGAAGAATGTGAGTGAAAATTTTACAACAAGGCTTTTTTGCTGATGTAATATATGTGCGCACTCATAAAAGTGCACCCACAAATGGCCCGGGCCTGCACTCATTGTTCCTGCTTCACTGGGGAGCAGTCAGCAACCCAGAACATGTCATAGCCCTCTCCCTTTGCCGCTGTCCTAGAGTGCAGATTCACCAAGTTTGTTTTCCCCCCATTAACATGCCCTTTTAACGTACCTGATATTTTCTCTTGTTATAAAATATGGAAAAGTCAGGCACCTGGTGGCTCATGCCTGTAATCCCAGCTACTCAGGAGGCTGAGATCTGAGGATCAAAGTTCAAAGCCAGTTTGTGCAGAAAAGTCCATGAGACTATTAGCTCCAAGTAAGCAGCACAAAGACAGAACTGGAGCTGTGGCTCAAGTGGTAGAGTGCTAGCTTTGAGCAGTAGTAAAGCCAAGTGAGAGTAAAAGGCCTTGAGCTCAAGCCCCCAGTACCAGCATAAGCAAATAACAAGATTTAAAAAAAGATAAAAATATAAACAAATAAAAATATAAGTAAAGAGATACAGTAGTATCTACTTCTCTGAAGCAATTGCTTTATTGTTGTACATAATGAAAAACAGATCTGATAGTTAGATATACCTAGCCAACCAAAGAAAGAATGTGGGGACTGGATCCTCATGAAGGAACAGGTATAAAAAAAAACTCAACCTTCTGAAAAGATAAAATACTAAAACATCAATAGGATGTTAATGTTTTAGTATTCCCCTATTCCTTGAAAATACTAGGAAGAAGAATTTTCTTTCGATGTGTAGATCTGCCCTACACAACTGCCTAAAATGTCAAGCAAGCTAATTTTTAACAAGTGGCATTTCTGAGTCACTGGTCCATTCTCCCTATAGATACATGTGTCCATCCTCACTTCCTGGAAAATGAAAATTCACAAGGATCCTTATAAGATACAAAGGCTTGGGAGTGCCCTATCCTAGCAGTTCTCAGGGAGAGCACAGGAGATGTGTCACCCCTTCTGCAAATAATTAATTGATGAATCGTAGTGGTGATGGAGTAGGTGAACACACAGACAGACATCTGGGCGCTGGGCCCACCTGCTGTGTGTCCAACTCCTAGAGAAAACTCTTACCAGCTCTGTGACTTACTTAGTTTTGGTTTCCTCATCTTATAATGAGGGCAGAGCTTCTATTTTTATGCAATGATTGGCACATTCACTTAATAAATTGTCATTAGTGTGCTTCTTTTTCTTCTTAATCACCCAACACCTATCTGAGCAGTTTAGTACTAGACCTGAACATATATGGTCTTCTCTGATCAAGTTTCAAAGCTAATCTCAGAAATTACAAAACTCTATTTTTCTTGAGGCAATGGGAATTGAACCCAGGGACTTTGTGCATTCTAGGCAAGCATTCTACTGCTCAGTTATATCCCTAGCCTGTGAACTACTTTTAAAAATAATTCACTTTTTTTGCAAATAGACTTTGGGAGAAGAGTTCAATAAAACTCAAGGGAAGCTGACAGGAGAATGATTAGCAAATGGGAGAAATGGACCACAAATGTAAGCCTTAAAAGACTAAAAATCACTCTCTGAAGAGGAGCAGCATGAAGGAAGGAAAAGGACATGAGAAGCATAACCCTTAAGGCTGGGTTCAATTGCCTAGGTCTAGCAAGACAGGCACAGAGGTTTCGGCTGGGAAGAACTGGGAACAGCTTAAATTGGGTTGAGTAATGGACTCCATTTGCTGGACAGTAAGAAACTTCATAGGCTCTGATGCTAGGAAGTAGTGGGACTTAGAGTGAAGCAACAACAACAGTAAAAGGAGAGGTAAAGGGCACCAGTCTTTTAAGAATACAGTGGATCTCTGGGCTGGGAAGGTGGCTCAGTGGTAGAGCGCTTGCCTTGCATGCCTGAGGCCCTGGGTTCGATTCCTCAGCACCACATAATGCAAAAAGAAAAAAGCCGGAAGTGGCGCTGTGGCTCAAGTGGTAGAGCGCTAGCCTTGAGCTGAAGAGCTGAGGGACAGCGCCCAGGCCCAGAGTTCAGGCCCCACTACAGGACCCCCCCCCCCCCCACACACACACACAAAGAATACAGTGGATCTCATAAGTAAAAAGTTGACAGAGTGGTGGGTAATTTCAAGCCTCCACAGAATAGGGGGATGACCTGGACAAACAGGAGGCCAGGGTTGCTGCCAATTGAAATGGGATGGTGAGGTAGGGAGGGAGAAGAACCATTTGGAGGTTCAGGCAAATTTGGCATTTACCTAGCTGAGTTTCTGATGACCTAGGGAACAGCTGCAAATATGTAGAAATTGGTAAAAGGGGTCTGTGTGAGACTAAAATGGCACAGAGGGACCAGAAGGCTGGCTCTGAGACTTGGAACTCTTTAGATGCTCATGGGTAAAGACTAGGAAGGCACAAAAGAGGCCCAAAGGAGGAGAGAAGTAATCTATGCCCTCCCATAATCCAAGCCCTGCTGGAAGAGAGGGCACTGTACACAGGAGACAGCTGTTGGGGACTGGGGAAGGTCTAGCCTGGCCTAGCCAAGCAGCAGAGTCTCCATGGAATAGTATGGCTGAAATCCCACAATAGGAATAAGTAGGAAAGAGCTACCAAGAAAAGAAAATCCCTCCTTCGCTGGAGAGGGGGAAGAGCAGCCTTACGTATACCACAGAAATCCATCTCACGGGCCTTGTAAACAAATCTTTTATCCCTTTTCCGCTCTGACAGTTCTTCAACTTGCACTAAGACCCTGCCCACATCACCCGGTGACTAAATCACTTCCTATGGTTTATGTCCTGGGGCTCCAGCCTAGAGGGCTGTACGATCGCTGCTAAGTTTTAACCTAAGCTTTGGTTTTCTGTGCATGAGGGGGTGGTAAGTAATGGCACCCCACATAAGGTTGTTGTGAGGACATCATATGCCTGCTCGCTTACTCTGAGCAAGTGTCAGCTGGGATACTTGGACTAAGGCAGCTAGAAGCACTGGTGGTTCTAGGGTGATCACAGAGCCGGTCACATGCAGTGAAGGCAGGTGGTCTTCATCCAGGTTGGACCTTCGCTCATTCTTATTAAATTCCCGTTTTACATTGGCAACCAGTTCCTGCCTGTCTGATGTTTGCAGATTTCAATTCAGTCATCTAGTATAATTGTTCTCCCCAGCTTCCCGTTCCATGTTATTAGAGATGATAATTAAATTTTGTATGATTTTTTGATGTACTAAAAATAAAACAATTCTTGAAATGAGCTCTTTTCTGAAATTCATCTTAGAGGTGGAAGAACACTCTTTTGTTAGGATATTAGCTAGGAAGTCCCAATATACAAATACTAAAAACCTAATTCTCCTGGCTTTAAATGACAGAGAGAATCTATTGGTTGATATAACCCCAAAGTGGCCACGCAGCTGGCGAGGAGGGGGGGGGTGATGGGGGGGGGGGGGGAGAAGGGGCAGGACTTTAGGCCTGGCACGATCAAAGCTCTGGCTCTGGCCTCTGCAATTCTGTTCCCTCTAGCTTTCTTTTACCTCTGTCTGTAATCAGGCTGGAGTCCTGATGAAAGTAAAATGTAGGTAGGTAGGTGCTCCCAGGCTTCCCTTCTGTAGCCCTTGAGTCTCATGGAATAAGCAAAGTCTCTTCCCGTCACTGACCAGAGTCCCACATTTCAGTCCGAACATAGAATCAAGCTCAGTAGCCAAGGCAAACTACACTCCCGGTGATGGAATTACTACTGCCCATGAATCAGTCCATTATGTTGGCAATATTGACTACTCAGACATATATACTCAAAAGAAATAAATTTATAGTTCTTTAAAGATATTCTACAAGGTATATTTTGCTATATAATTCAGGTCGGTCTTGCAATGATTATGACTATGCTTCTTTAGCTAAGATTGACCAAAACTTTGATTTGGAATTAAGAATAAAACCAAACTAATTTTCATTTTGGAAAAATTTTAAGGGGTATTTATGGTAAGGAACTGTGTAGTGTAGCTCAATGGTAGGATGCTTGCCTGGCATGCATGAAGTCTTGGTTTCTGTCCCAGCACAACAATGCTTACCAAAAAAAATTAAGTTTTGGGCTGAACTTTTCTTTGTTCTAGGAAAAAGACATTTCATCTATTGGATACAAGTCGTACAGGCGTAAATCAGATAGTAAATATCTAGCCATTGCACCCATGTAGACTCAATCACAACTACTCTGCT